TATAAATAAAATCATGAGTCCTCTTATTTAAGGCCTTAGAAGAAATTTAATTCATTTTCGTTTAGTAAAAGAGTTTGATTTTTTTTTTTAAATTGGTTAAGCAAAGAGAGTGTTTTAAGATCATCATTTAAAAATGTATTCCATAATTAAGGTCCTCGATTTGTAATTGAGTATTTAGTCGCTGAATAATAAGTTTTGGATTGACTAAAGTTATTTTTTCAGAACCATGTGCTGTATATATGATTTATTTTTTTAAATATTGAGTAAAATAAAGGCGGTGCCGTTTTTTTATCAAGTTTTAACAAAAATATAAGAATTTGATAAGGATTTATTTTGAAAACATTTAATATACTGAGTTTACAAAAAGGTATTTCTTTATGGGAAAGTCGACCTTCATTTGTAATTATCTTAATAGCATGTTTTTGTTTGCAGAGAAGTTTATTTATTTTTGTAACGTTGGTACTGCACCAAGCAGTACCAACATTAAACCAAGTTTAAGTAACAACGTATAAAAAAAAAGTATTTCAAACAAGATTGGTTTAAAAACTGTTTAGCTTTATACAGTATAACAATTTTTTTTGAAATTTTTTTTGAAATTACATTTATATATTTCCTCCAATTATTATTTTTATCTAGAATTACGCCCAAGAATTTTAGCAATATTTCCCTTTTTATTAAATTATTATCAATAAAGAGATTTGGTAGTTTTAAAGAAAATTTTATTTATAGAAGCATGATGGAATAATGTGTATTTAGTTTTATTAATGTTTAGGGATAGCTTATTGGATTTAAATCATTGGCTTAATTTATCAACTTTTTTGTTTACTCCTAAAAATAAAATATTAACATCTTCATTGGAATAAAACAAGTTAGTATCATCGGCAAATAAAATTAAGTTTAAGATATTAGAAAAATTATTTAAATCATTAATATAAACTAGAAGCAAGAGGGGTCCTAGCACTGAACCCTCGGGAACACCGCATGTGATAGTCATATTATCCGTTTTTCCACCTTCGTATAAAATATATTGCATTCTGTTAAACAAGTTACTTTTAAACCAAGCCGAGTTTGAATTTCTTATACCGTAGATTTCGAGTTTGGATAAAAGAATTATTTGATCAACTGTATCAAAGGCTTTTCTTAGATCTATAAAAATACCTAAAGTATACTTTTTTCATTAAACCCTTTAAATATATTATGTACAAGATGTAAGATTGCGTGATCATTAGAATGACCAGATTTAAAACCAAATTGTTTATTGTACAAAATATTACTTTTGCTTAAGAAAGAATTAAGTCTATTATACATAATTTGTTCTAGAATTTTTGAAAAGCATGTAAGAATTGAGATCGGCCTATATTTAGTAACTTTACAAGGATCACCTGATTTTAAAATTAGGATAACTCTAGCGATTTTTAACTTTTCCGGAAAAAGTCCCTCTTTTAAAGATAAGTTAAATACAAGAGTGAGATTGTAATGAGTTTTATTGAATTGATAATGATGCAACTATTTATATTTTCAACTTTTTTTGGGCTTGATTAAAGGAACCGCAACTATTAATTCTTCTTCAGTAAGTTTATCATTAGACTATTAAATAACGGAAACAACAACTAGTGGAGGTAATCGAAATTCCGACAATACAGTCTGACGGTTCTTTGAATTCTGTGTCAAGAGTGTGACATTTTTTTGGAAATAAAAGTATAGCTCAATAACAATAATAGATACCTTGCGAATCCTGTGACAATTGGTTGTGTTGATCTTGCAGTTCTACAAAGGTTGACGATATGTGCAAGAACTGCCTAATTAAACATACAAAGCTTGTTTTAAGAGATTTTTTTGTTAATTTAAAAAACCGTTTTAACTTAACTAAAAAAAATATTTTTATTTTATTAACCAGTGGCGTAGCAAAAATTATAACTAGTGGTATAGCAAAAATGATAACAAGTGGCGTAGCAAAAATGATAACCAGTGGCGTAGCAAAAATGATAAAGACCAAAGTAATAGAATAAAACTATTTACACTTAAAGGACTTTTTTTTATGTGCTCCTCGTTGTTTTCTTTGGCACCCTAAAAAAAAAAAAATTTTAGCCCAGGGAGATGCCCTCCTTGGCTACTGGTATTAACTGGTATTATATCATCATTTTACAGTAAAATAAAATTTAAAAATTAGTTTTGATTGTTTGTACAAACAACCAAAATAAGTTTGTGATGCCTTGTTAGGATTTATATAGCGACCGAACTTATGAGATAATATTAAAAGTTTGGTCAAAGTAGATGTTTTCAGTTGAAAATAAATATAGAATATTAGGTTTTTTTTTTCTTTCTTTTTTTAAATATCAGTTATTGATATATTTTACTGTTTCAAATAAAAAAAAAATTGAAATTTTTTTTACATAAGTGTGATAAATGAATGTTCAAAGCTTAAGAGACCGAACTTAAGCGTATATAATAAAAAATAATTTTATTTCAATGTTACACAACCTAGACTTTTTTTTAAACAAACAAAAACTTTTTTATCTTAAACTTTTTTCTTAAATTAGGTAACTTAATAATTAATGTTGTTAAGATTAAATGCAAACTTTATTAATGTTATATGAAAGAACTTTTTTGGAGCGTGCAAAGATGGTGTGTGCGTGCGTGCGTGAGTGCATTAGGATGTGTAATGTCTATATTAAAATTTATCGACCAATTTTTTTTAACAATATATTTTTATCATCTTCATTATTTTTAACGATGAATTTTACCAATGTACTAATAGGTACTAAATATATTGTTCAAATGTATGGCGAGTACAGAATATTATGCATAAACACATTATATATATATATATATATATATATATATATATATATATAATATATATATATATATATATATATAATTTTTATTATTATTATTTAGGTGCCCCAAAAAGACCTAACGGTCTTGTCACAGAGCACCGCGGAAGTGCATTTAACCAGGGTGTTCACGCCTCCTTCCTTACCGTGACGCAATATATGTCCATAGCTCGTTTCGAACCTGCTTACAAAGCAAGCGACCTAACCACTGCGCCACGGCCGCACTATATATATATATATATATATATATATATATATATATATATATATATATATATATATATATATATATATATATATATATATATATATATATATATATATATATATATAATATATATATATATATATATAATTTTTATTATTATTATTTAGGTGCCCCAAAAAGACCTAACGGTCTTGTCACAGAGCACCGCGGAAGTGCATTTAACCAGGGTGTTCACGCCTCCTTCCTTACCGTGACGCAATATATGTCCATAGCTCGTTTCGAACCTGCTTACAAAGCAAGCGACCTAACCACTGCGCCACGGCCGCACTATATATATATATATATATATATATATATATATATATATATATATATATATATATATATATATATATATATATATATATATATATATATATATATATATATATATATATATTAAAATTACACATTTTTCAAGGTTAAACTTTAAGAATTATAATTTGCTTGAATTTTTGTGCCTTACTTTTTTGGGGGCAATTTGTTCAAGTCAAAAGCGATTTTTTTTTAAATTTTGTAACTTAATTCTTTGCTAAGTAAAAGTTACAAATATAATCTTAAATTTTGTACTAACAGTGTATTAGCGTTATTGTTATTGTTAATTATTTTTAATGTAACGTCCGCAATGACGTTTTAACTTGCGAACAAACAAAAATGCTCAACAAGTTAGCTTGTACTTCAAATGTAATATATATTTGTATGAAGTGTATTTTATTTTACTAATTACGTAACATTGAGTTTAAATTACGTAATATTAGCTTTAAATTAACTCTTTTTCTGCGTTAAATATTATTAAAGTTTATTAATGGGAAGCTGCAGAATACTCGCTCTTCCTATTTTATATGGATACCATCCCAAAATTTCCACTATAAGTTTCTTTTTTTGTTATCAATATTTTGGGGTATTTTTTTCATAAATTTTAAATATTATTAACAATATCTTTTGAATTGTAATCAAATAAATATTTATTAGATAGTAATTTTCAACATGTATTACACGTTAGAATAACATTTCATTTAAGCTATTCGGATTTGAGATCCGAATAGCTTAAAAGGATATGTTGTGAGTAATAGAAGTACGTCAGAATCAGTTAATAAGTTTGACTAAAAGGCCCGCTGAATGATGGCAAATAAACGAGTTTAATATTCGTTTTATTATTTCCTATTGATGTAATAAAACCTTGCGTTATGAAGCGTAGGCATAACCCTAAAGCAATGCTATGCTTTTGCTTATTAATGTTAATAAAATATTACACCGTTTTAATGGATTAAAAAAGAATTGAATCGCTAAACCATCTTCTTAATGAAAAATTTTTTTGAAAAAAGCGGCGGGAATTTCCTTATTAAATGGTGTTCCTTTTGAGGTGTGATGTGGTAAAATCTTTGATCTATACAAATATAAAAACTATACATAAAAAAATTATTTTATTATGTAACTACATAATAAATTATAAATTTATTGTGTAATTAAAGCATATAAATTACACAACCTAGTCTTTCTTTTAAATAAACAAAATAATTTCAATTTTAAACTTAATAATTTCCCGACCAAATTTTTTATTGAACAATATTATTTTATTACTAGTAAACTTCCCCCAACGTTCATATTAGGTGCGAGTCTGAGTATATTTTCGCATATATGGTACGGGCCTGAAAATAGTATAATAAAAAACGCGTTATTTAATTTTTTTTATTCGCATTCAAGGTTAAAAATGCAGGATTAAAGATATTGTAATTTTTTAAATTTTTTTCCAAGTCAAAAGTAATAAAATAAAAATAAAAATAATAATAAAATTGTAACTATTTAAAACTTACAAAATGTAGTCTAAAAACTATATTTTGTATCAACACTATTACTATTGTTAATTATTATTGATAAAACGCTTCAAATGACATTTTATCTTAAAAACAAACGAAAACGCTCAGTAAATTTGGCTTGTACTCCAAATAAAGTAAATTTTCGTATGAAGTAATTTTTATTTTATTTTTAAATTACGCAACACAAATTTCTATTTAAACGAAGCGTGTAAGTTGCTTAACCTACGCCAACTCGTTTACTTAGATTAGATAACTCAAAAATTAAAATGAAATGTGAAGCTTGAAGTAGAATCGACTATTAGACCATAAATAGTTGTATAAGGAAGTGCTAATTGTAATGTTTCACTAAGTCATGAATAATATGGTTAAATATATGCCAAAAGAGTTGGGATATGAAATGTGTCAAAAAAGTTGTGAAAAAAAACACAGTTCTAGTTTTAGTGCATTAAATTCTAAGAGTAAGTGTTTAAAAGTAAAGAACGTTATTAAAGCTAGAAATTCACTACGCAAAGAGATCAAAAATGTTCTTACAAAAAACAATAGAATATCAAACTTTCAAGTGAAACAAGTTGTTTTTGATTTTACAAGGGATGTTTCAAAAGATTACTCTTTACAAGTTCACGACTTACAAGCTGACGGTCTAAAAAGCGATAGTCTACTTAAAAATGAAGAAGAAGATGAATTAGGTTTAGATATAAAGACATTATTTACATGTAAATGTGGTTGGTTTTTGTATAACCCATCAACTTTACCTTGTGGACACACAACTTGCAAAAGTTGTGCTGATAAATTTATGACATGTGTTGTATGTGGTTTTAGTCTAACAATATCTTCAAATATTAGTTGTTTTTTGGAACATATCTTATCTGTTTGGTTTAAAAAAAACTATAACTGTAGTAAACTTAAAAAACAAGCAATTGAACTCTATAAAAATAAAGAATATTTACTGGCTCTTGAAAAAATTTCTTCGACAAAATTAGAAAAAGATCATCAAGCACTATATATTAAATCGAAAATAAACACCAAGTTAGGACATCATGAAGAGGCTTTATTAGATGCAGATATGACATGTAAACTTAACAATTCTTTAGGAAAATACTATTATCGTAAAGGTATTTGTTTTTCTAATCTTAAAGAAATGGATAATGCCATTGATGCATTTCAAACATGTTTAGAAGTTGATCCTTTAAATGATAAATTATCCAATAAAGTATCAGTAGCTATCGAAAATCTTTTGTGTGCCTCTAATTCAGATAACCTGAACATTTTACAATGTTATGGAGTTGTAAATTCTAAATTCTCTGACTGTCAATCACTATTTAGTTTGAACAAAAATAACACTCAACAAAAAGAAAATGAAAAGACATTCAATAAAACCAGTTCTGAATCTGTTTTTTCTTTCAGCAAAAATGAAGTGAAAAAAAACTTACAAAAAAATAAGATAAAATTTTTTAATGGAGTCCCACATCATCTCATTAAAGAAGAAGACTTTGAGTGTAAAATTTGTTATGATATATTTTTAAAACCTGTCACGACACCTTGTGGACATGTATTTTGTAAAAATTGCTTGACACAAACAATGGACCATAATCCGTGTTGTCCTATATGCAGACTTTCTTTGGTAGAATATCAGTCTTCTTCTATGACAGAAACTTTTATTATTGAACAAATTCTTGAAGAATTTTTTAAAGAATCATATGAAGAAAAACAGAACCAGCGGAAGGAGCGCATGGAGCGGTTATCAAGGTTTTTAAATATTTCTTAATATATAGTTATAGCATAAATTATTTTATCTAAATAATTAATTATTAATTTTATAAATTGAATGGTCATAGTTATGAAATTATAATCTTAATCATAGAATCTCATTTATCAGGGGTGCGGAGCCAGCTTTAAAAATCTAGCATCAGCTGATCTAGCATCAAAACTGTGTTTTTGAGGCAAAGGTCTGATTTTAAATAATATATATATAAAGTATATTTGTAAAGGTAATTTATAATTTTAACAAAAAAGCTTTGACAGCAAAAAGAATAAAAAATTAACAATTCTACAGATTCTTTTATTATCCTAAATATTTGATTAGATAAATGCACAAGTGATAAGAATACAACATAAAGTTAGAAAAGTATTTTTAAAGAACTTTATAACCTATTCACAGGCAAATTGAAATACAAAATATAAGTGTTTATTTTTTGATAATTAAAAAAAAAAAAAAAAATAGCTAAAATACTCTAATAAATGCCTATGCCGTTGGCTTCTCATCCCTGTTAGTAAGACAGCTATATACACAAAACATTTGACAAAAAGTTTTAATTAGAGTTAAGTAGGGTAAGTGTGCCATAATTAGTTTTCTAGTTTACTGTTGAAATAATTTACTTTATTTTCTATACTTATAGTATAATGTACATTGTTCATATTTATTAGATTTGGCTTTCAAATTCAAATTATATAAAAGAAAGTCTTCATATTGGTAAATTTAAATAAAGTTAAGATAAATCAAATGTATTTTAAATATATTTCATTGTGTATATAAATATATATATATATATGTTTCAGAAAAAAAAGAATTACATTGTAATTATCTAAGAAGCTGAGGTAAGATGTAGCAATACACTAATTATCTATAATTAGTAATCTAATAATAAAATAATCAGTTAGCTACCTAACGGGGTAAGTGTGCCAACAGTTTTAAACAGCTTAAAAAAATATTTGCCATTTTTATCATTTGTGTTTGTTTAACACATATAATAAAAATAAATGAAACACAACAATTTTAGAAATCATTAAATTTATGTTGGACCGCATGTACCTTTCATTTTTAAATACCGCATGTACCTTTCATTTTTAAATACCACATCAAAACGATTTGCTATTAATTTTTTTCATTTAGTATTTATGCCATCTTTTATGATTGGTTAAGTTTTTTTTATTAGAAGTTTATAATATTCAAGCATTAATGTTCAATGCTTGAATATTAAGTCAACTATTTTAGTATCTAATTGATTCTAATTTTTAACTATACAGTTAGTTAAAAAACGATGCCTTGGTAAAGTGTTTAAACTAATTGCTTCCTCTTTAGTATGTGTTATTTATAATGCGCTGTGTATATTGTGTTATTTGTAACGTGCTATGTATGTGTTATTTGTAATGTGCTATGTGTATTGAATTATTCAATATACATAGCACATTATAAATAACACAATAGTTGTGTAACTTATAATGTATTATGTATAATAAGTTATTTATATTGTGCTATGTATAATGTGTTATAAACAATGTGCTATAATAGAGTATGTTATAAATAAGTAATTTTACATATAAAATAACATAATTATTATGTTATTTAATAATAGATTAATAATAAATTTGTTATTAATAAACTGTAAACTATACAAGTAATATAAATGAAATTAATTATATACTATTACATTTTATTGCTATTAAAATAAAATGTTACAAATGTTTACAAAAAATCAAAACAGTGCACTTGTTGCATTTTATCCATATGAATATGGCACACTTACTTCATTATCAATTTAAGTAATTTGATTGGTGTTATTAAAAAAATAATAATCATCTAAAATTATATATTTTATCCAATATTATATTACCCTTATATGGAAAATATTTTTCAATTTGAATCAGTTTAGGTGCTATGTGCAGACCTAAATTAGCACTAAAAGATGTTTTTTGTTTGTTGTTGTTTTTTTTACTCTTTTTTCTCAAACCTGTTATAAGTATAAAACACTAAAACAGACATGAAATCTTGAAAAAAGCACAGTAAAACACAAAAAAAACAAAACATTTAAGAGACTATTATATAAGCTGAGCTTACAAAAAGGTCTGAAAAGTGATGAACTCTACAACTTCTAAATTTTAAATATAGTTTTTAAAGAGTAGTTTATGTAAGCTAATGTATTTTTAGGTTAGTGATGGTGAGCATGATTTTAAAAAATTATGAACAAACCAGAACATAATCCACATTTTTTTTTAGGGTTGGCATAGATGAAGATGTTGAAGTACCACTTTTTATATGCGCTATAGCATTTCCTTATGTTCCATATCGCTTGCACATCTTTGAACCCAAATATCGGTTAATGATTAGAGAGTGTCTAGAATCAAAATCAAAAAAGTTTGGAATGTGTATACCCAACAACAATGGAGAAATATCAGATGTGGGTAGGAAAACTAATTCTTGTATTTTTCTTTAAGTTAATTATTTTTTGAAGCTGATTTAAGTGAGTTTTATTCATCTAACAAGTTTATTGTGTTTGCAAAGTAATTAATGTAGTGCTTTATTTGTTTTGTATAGCAATTTTATAAATTTGTTTATAAATAGTTGTTTAATATAGCAAGTTATTTTCAAGTACCGTGTTGTTTGATAAAGCAAGTTATTTGCTTGGTATTGCAAGTTAAATTAAATTATATTGGTTTGATATGTTTTTATTTTACTTTTTTGTTTGTTTTATTTTTAGGTACTATTTGTGAAATCATGAACTATAAAGTTTTTCCAGATGGACGTTTTATGATAGAAACTGTTGCCACTCAAAGATTTCTTATTCTAAACAAACAATTTATTAATTCCATGTATTATGGTAGAGTAACATACTTTAAAGACGATCTTGCAGATGTTGATTCTGCCATGTTGACTGTTATTTCTAGAAGTGTTTATGAAAAACTTCTCAATTATTTCTCTTCACTTAAACCAGAAGAACAACAAGTTATTTTAAATACAATTGGACCTCACCCTGAATATAGTAGTGATTTTGAACTTTCCCAGCATGGTATTCCATGGGTGTGGTGGGGTCTTGCAATGGTACCAGTTAACCAAACAGCTAAACTTTTGCTACTGCGATCTACATCAGTAATTGAACGAATATTGAGTTTACAAAGATTTTTAAAATTTCTTAGTAAAGTTTCTCTACAGAATCCACATAATCAGTAGCTAATTTATTACAATAATTTATTATAAATTCATTTATTTAAGTTTTTTCTTTTTTTAATACAATATTCCCTAGAAATTAAATAGTACCCTATTTAAATATTTTATGTAAAATCCTTCTATAGATCATGTATATTTTTATGTATATTTATATGTAAATGAATGATTATTGCTTTGAAACTGTTTCTTTTTTCTTTTTAAACCTTTTTTCAAATTCAACCGTAACATCATACCATTTCTGGTTATAATTCATTAAAAATAACTATAACATGATATTAGGAAGAAAACAAAATTGCTTCTTTTGTTCTTAATAATAGCTTTCGTTTTTAATGAATTTTATAAAAATTTATTTTTAAATTCATTTTAAGTTTTGATAAATATATTCTTTAAAAAAAATTTTTTTGGTGAGGGGGAATATATGTTTAGGAAATTTAATTTAATTTAGTCTTAAATTTATGTACGATTCGTAAGTTATAATTAGAGTGGAATTGGTGACTTCACCTTTCATTTCGCTTAAATCAAAAAAATATATGTTTTGTTAAAAAGATAAGTAGAAGAGTTGCATGAAATTACGTAAAAATAAGATTAAAATTTTGTGTTAGCAACGCCTCCACATTTTATTATATATTTCTATATTTAGATTCGCTCTGTTAAAGTTTCAAGTGATAGTTAAAAAAGTTGATTCTTTGACTAGATCTTTGCTTCAATATAGTTAATGTCATCAAGACTTATATGAATCCAATTGCTTTTGCCTTTTCACAATTAAGACTTTTTCAATTTTCTAAAAAGCTCCAGTTGTCTATGAGTGTAGGCAAATATCTTTGAGATCAAATTGGATTCTTGTTTGCAAGCTTTTATAACCGTTTAATTCACGCATAAACCCTATTTTCAACTGCAGCTCACTAGTTCCAGGTTTAATTCCTATAAAGCTTGTCATTATGGATCGTAGGTGTGTAATTAATACTTACTAATACCAGGTGTGTAATTAATTATTATTACTCAAAAAGTGGCGTAAATTTGCTTCAAGACCATGGTCTCTTGTTAAACCCCACTACTTTAAAGAGACTACATCAGCATTTGGTCATGCACATGATCTGACATGTATCCAGCCCAATATATACCCTATATTTGTATTGCGTGTTAAACTTTTATAAAAATGTCATGAAGCCAAAGTTTCTAAAAAGGTGGATACTTCTGAACAATACGTATTTGAACGTCTGACATTGTTGACATGTTGCTGTAGATAAATTCAACATTTTCCTGGCAGCTTGCTTGTAAATACCAATTTGAAGTTTTTTCTGCACAAACTAATTTACAACGTGAATAGTTTTATTCATATCAAATTTATTTAAAAAAATGTTCCTTAAAAAAATTTGCTAAATTGATATAAAAAAATGTATAATGGTCATTTAATTTTTTGAACGCACGCATAAATATATTTTATTTTTTTATTTTCTCTAAATAACCTACATAATAATCATCAGTATACCAACTTGATGTGGAAGTAGAGCTTCACTATTTCCATAGAAAAATATAAATGCATCCTTCAGCTATTCTTGAAATGTTGTATGTATTTTTGTTAACTCAAATGCTAACACACTTATCCACATTTCCTATCATGCATTCAAAATATTATACCAGCCCGCACAGACTTTAATAAGACGCTTGTAGAATGTCTTATAGATGTCACAAGTCCGTACGATGTTCTTAAAGTGTCCAACAAACGTTCTGTGCCCGCTGGGATGATTTCTCTAACTGATATTAATGTCTTAATAAATATGTTGACTTTTCTCAATTCAAAATACCACGTAGTTTTCATTCCTTTTCTTCATAGTTTTACTTTTTTTTCTCTTATCATACATCTAATCCTTCCTCAGCTTTAGTTTGGATTTTTTCAGAACAATAATAGTACTTTTCTACGCAACTTAACTCACCGTCGTTGAAACATTTTTTAGCTTTTACTTGGCTTTTCTGGGCTCTTAATACTGTCTTTCTACTCAATTCAGCTCATCAAAAAAACTATTTACCTTATATACATGCTTAACGTAAAACCTTTTTTTTATCAAATCAGCATATATTTGCGTCGCTTAACAGATTAATCATAATTTTCATCGAAAAAATCGCTTCGGGCTGCTACATTCATTTCTTTTAGAAGTTTATCCGCCTGTTTCAACGGCCTGTTTACTTTCATAAGTCGCCGGTAAATGCTATTTTTTCAAAGTTGAAATACGTAAAAAAATTATTGACTTACTACCGGCTTGCCAATTGTTCTTGAAAAAGACCGAGTACCAATAGTTCTCTTTACTAAAAGCCAGATTTTATTTATTGAGATAAATAAAATTTGGTGTACAACATAAGTAACAGCAACGTACCAATTTTATTATAGTTTATTTGCTTGACTTATTAGCTCAGACTGTCGTTAGACGTAAAATAATGCTAACATAAAAACCGTTATTAAATAAACCATATTATAAACCGTAAATAAGATAATACCAAAATGACGTCAAATCAAGAAGATAATTAATAAACGTAAACAAATTTTTGTGTGGCTTGAACTAAAAAACATAGTAGTCATTAACCAATCAGTGTTGGGCAGCTGACGCAATAAGTGTCATTAACCAACCAGGGTTGAGTTGCATTTCAAATAAAAAGTAATAGTACATTTTTATTTAAACATGCAAACGGCATATAAACTATAAATTCAAGTGGAAAAGTTTTTTAGATAAAATATAACATAACTCTTTCTTTGAGCAGCTATAACTTTCTTTTTATTCGGCATTATATCAACTTTCAAACGATAAGTATAACTTATAATTTCGCAACATAATATTCGTTATTTTGACTTAAAAAATGGATTCAAGTTTTTATTTGATAACATGCTAACTAACCTCAGGGCCGCCGAGAGGGGGGGCACCGGGACAGTTTATCCCAGGCGGCAGATATCCAAGGGGCGCCAAATGAAATGTAAGTACTTAAAAAAAAAAAAGTCCTTCATATATAATATAGGGAAAATTTGATAAAAAAGGGCACCAATCAGGATTGCTGTCCCAGGCGGCGTGACAGCTCTCGGCGGCCCTGGTTAACGTATATGCAAAAGCCTAACTTTGCATGATTTTTTCCAGATGGCATTAATCATAAAATTAGTAAATCAAACTTTTTTTTAAAAGATTTTTTTCGTAAACTTGTTTGAGTATTTTGTTGTAAAAAAATTATTGCAGAAACTGATCTGTTTCTATTTCCACAACATTTATACAAGTGTCGTTCAATAAATATTTTCATTATAAAACAAAGATGTTGTGTCACTGTTGTACGAAATTTCTATTTCAAATTGATTGGAAAACTAGCTCTCGCGACGAGCTGACAAAATTCATTTTAGAAACCAGCCTAAAACTATCAGCGTGAAGTCGTGGTTTTTGTGGTGGTTAATTTCAAAGAGAATCTAAACACAATATTCTGATAATTTTGCAGAGTTTGTTTGTTTATCTTATATATGCAAAACTGAAAAAAGATATAAAGTTTTGAAAATTATGATTTATATTATGGTATCAAACTTAATATGATTTATATATATATATATATATATATATATATATATATATATATATATATATATATATATATATATATATATGTATATATATATATTTCGTATATATATTTCGTATATATATATATATATATATATATATATATATATATATATATATATATATATATATATATATATATATATATATGTATATATATATATATATATTTCGTATATATATATATATAAATATATATGTATATATATTTCGTCGCTATGAGTAATTACAATACCAAAGAACATAAATAAAAATAAAGTATGACCGGGGCAGAAAGAAGACTGTAGTTGTCTTATCACTAAGCCCCGTAATAAATACACCGTAAGTTATAATGCTTATAAAAACCGTAATAATGTAAGTTACATATCTTTTAATTTTTTTTTTTTTTTTACCTTTAAAGTTTACTAAAAAAATATTTTAAATAGGGAATAAAATAACTAACCAAAAAAAAAGACCAGCAAAAAAGAAGAAAAAACAAACAAAAAAGACAAAACAAAAAAAAATAAATAAAAAAAAAATAAACAAAAAAAAAGCCAGTAATATTATTCATCATACTTATGGATCTTAGTAATAAACAATTATCAAAATTAAATTGTTAAACGCTTTAGAAGAAATTTAGCTCATGGTCGTTTAGTAAAAGATTTTGCTTTAGTTTAGTTTTAAATTGATTAAGTGAAGAAAGTGTTTTAAGATCATTATTTAAAAGTGTATTTTTGATGTTCATATCTCGCGGGAGAATTTCAAAACGCTGCACAGTGGGCCGGATATTAGACATATGATGGACAAAATTATTTTGATCTTTTTTTTTATTATTAAAACCCTTTACATGTCCAAAGAATCACTTTGTATTAAGATATATTTACTTTTATTATAAATTTTAGTTAAATAGTTGCTAATTCTAAAAATTATTTAACAAACTTAAAAAATTACAAATCCGCGCATTTAAAGTTTAACATTTAAAATAAACTTTAAAAGCGCGGATTTAAATCGTGGAACTGAATAACAAACTTTCTTTGAATAATAAACTTAAAAGAAAAAATTGATGCAACAAACTTTAAAAATAAAAATGCGTACATACTTTAGAAAAAATGAAAATTTATCATTAGATTTGAAACACTATTATCGATATTATATAATAGAATAGAAATATATAGATAAATATATTGAAATATGTAGAAAGTATAAATGAATACATAAATTTGAAAATCTATTATTGATATTATTACATGCCCACGACGTTTTGAATAAGTCTGTCGATTATTTATCATCTTTATATATAATAATGTATTCTTTTTTTGCTTTTAATTTATTAGCCGCACATTCTGGATGAATAAAATTACAATATTTTTATTATTATTAAAGTCTACTGAGTTCTAAAGGTACTATGCAAATAATCAACAGGCACTCTTCAATCGTTACAATTTTCATTTTGACTTACCTGTTTGTAAGCACTATATCCTGTAGCACCATCAAAACCAGCTTTGCTTCTAAATGTCAGTTTAGTTAATTCCTTAGCATTGTGATTAGCACAATAGTTTGTACACCACATAGCTTTTTAAGAGTGTGTTTTAGAAGATCTTTTAGAGGTATTTGTAGTAAAATATCTATTTGAATGTTTTTGAGATAGCATTTAGCTTTTGAAGATCTTATACCATTATATAAAGGATATAAGTAACAGCCGTTTTTTTAGCACCATTTCTTAGAAGCTGATATGTTGATTTTGGTATATCACCATTAATAATTAATGCTAAAGTTTCATCAGATGAATATATCTAAGCAGGTTAAATGGAGTTTTTATTTCAAATTTCAGAAATTTTTGTGCCAGTTTTGTACTTAAACTCACTTCTTAGATTCAATTTTGTTGCATGAAGTAATTTATAGTTAAATAAAATATTAAAAATATTGTTAAGCTTATTCTTTTTGTTTTGTTAAAAGCTTTTCAAAAGAGCAACATGGTTTCATAACTTCATTAACTGATGATGCAGCGTTTAATGCAGAAGCTTAGCGATGGGCTGGCAGGGCTCGCAGCCACGGAAGGGCCCAGACTTATTAGAGGATCAAGCCAAATTTTTCAAATATATTTAATCACATTTTTGCTATTATTGTATAGCTAAGAATTAAAAATTCATAGCTGTACAATATGTAACATACTTGTTTCCATTAAATTAAATTAAAATTGTATTTAAAAATAAGGCTTTTGTTTTCATGTATAACTATTTTTTGTTTTGAAGGGCAAGGGAGGAAGAGAGAAGTAATTTAGGGGCCTTGATTAAAATTTTGTGGGGAGGCCTATTTTTTGTCGCTATGCAACTGATTTAATGTACTGTACACACTCGCGGAAAGTGTAGAGTTTTCTTCCACACCACACTATGCGTCGCGAAGCGGAAATAGGATTTTACTTACTTTTCGGAAAAAAAAAAAATCAATTTTAACATTTCAAATATTTTTTAACCGAAACAAGTAAGCATTAGTTAATAATTTCAAATTTTTTCAAACTTGTTTTTTATGTTTTTTTTTACACCTTTTCAGGGGTAAAAAAAACCCGGGTTTTTACTAAATTTTTATATTACATACAATAATTTCCAAATTTCCTCAATTTTTTTTGCATATTATCAAATAAATGATAAATTTTGTAAATTAAAAACCAAGAAAAGAAAAAAAAAATGTTTGGATCATTGTTTTTGTGTGTCCCTAAAGATTGGTTGATTAGACCTTGTTACTACAGAGGTAGCCAGTTTTTTATTTCTTATAAATTTTCTTCAATAAATAGACTTTTTAAAAGTGAAATAATATTCTGGCTACCTCTGTAGTAACATGGCATAATATCAATCATTGTAGGGGGTTTTGTTAAAAACCCCCTACAATGATTGATATTATGCAAAATTGCGGCCAATAGATTAAAAATAAAAATAATACATTATTATATATAGAGATGATAAATAATCTACAGACTTATTTAAAACGTCGTGGGTATGTAATAATATCAATAATAGAGTTTAAAATGTATATATTTGTTTATATTTTCTATATATTTCCATGTATTTATCTATATATTTCAAATCTATTATATAATAATATCGTTTTAAATCTGATGATAAATTTTCATTTTTTCCAAAGAATGCATTTTTATTTTAAAAGTTTGTTGCATCATTTTTTCTTTTAAGTTTATTCCACCAAAAGAGTTTGTTATTCAGTTCCACGATTTGAGGAAGTTATATGATTTGAAATTTAAAAAATTTAAATCCGCGTTTTTAAAGTTTTTTGAAGTTTGTTAAATAACTTTTAGAATTAGCAACTATTTAACTAAAATTTATAATAAAAGTAAAAATATCTTGATAAAAAGTGATTCTTTAGACATATAAAGGATTTTAGTAAAAAAAAAAAGATCAAAATAATTTTGTCCACCATATCTCTAATATCCGGTCCACTGTGCGCAACCTTGACTTTATAACATTATGAACATTATGAATTCGTGTTAGGGTTAGGATCAGCATATAATATAATGAATTCATAACATTATGAACATTATAAATTCGTGTTAAGGTTACCCAGCGGGAATTTGTTTTTAAAAGTTACGTTCTAAATGTATTTTAAATGTCTTTTAAACGTCTTCTAAACATTCTTACCTAAAGAACGTTTAAAAGACATTTAGAACGTAACTTTCAAAAACAAATGCCCGAAGGGTAGTATCAGCATATAATATAATGAATTCATAACAAAATTCATTTTTTAATTTATTACTTTATCGATATGATGTTATTTGGTTTCACTAATCAGTGTTTTATTAATGTTTTTAATAACCTTAGTACAATATTGAATTGCTTTTACAGGTGGAATGAAGGAATAAATGAAAAGAGTCATCACCCCTAAGTGTCTATTTAAAATATGAATTTGGTATGGTATCTATTAGATTGTTAATTCAGTTTTTTAATTAACACCGGTTTAGTATCTTAATTGCTATTTTGCTAAAAAAAAGGAGACTTTTTTCTTCAAAACTTGAATGAAACGTAGAAACTAACAAATAAAAAATAGTAAGCCAAAATAGTATTTGATATATTATTATTATTATTATTATTATTATTATTATTATTATCATAGTTGTAGCCGTAAAATATACATACCATATATACATACAGCGAGCAGGGAAAACATCCTACTATAAACAACCAGTTTTATAAATATTCGTTCCGAATTTTATCCTCAATTAGTGATCTAATCTAATTTTAAAAGAAAGTACAGTTGAGTATAAAGTTATATGCTCGGGTAGTTCATTCCAGTATTTTGCTGATCTATTATATAGTTGGTTGTGTCTTAGAAGACAGTTTGGAACATATTCACGTCTTATTTTAAGATGGTGACCACGTGACAATGAGTTATTAAATTTTGGTTGATATATATTATTAATGAAATCAAATCGATATATTAGTTTCAAAATTTGTATTAGATCGCATCGTAGGCGCCGAAACTCGAGTGATGGTAGATTTAGTCTTTTAAGTCTTTCGTAGTATTGAAGATTTCTCAAGCTTAAAACCCATTTTGTTGCTTTACGTTGAATAGATTCAACCAAAGCTACGTCAGTTTTTGAATACGGGGCCAAAACAGACACTGCATATTCAAGGTGTGGTCTTATAAACACTTTATATAATTTGAGAGTCATTTTTTCATCAACGATGGTGAATGTCCTTTTTAGCATACCAAGAGTTTGTAAAGATTTGGAGACAACTGATTGAATATGTGTACTCCACTTGAGGTTAGATGTAAAAATGACTCCTAAATCGCGCTCTTTAGTAGAGCTTCTTAGGCTTTCATTTATACCTTGGTTATTTTGCAAAAAGTAACTATACATAGGATTGGTTTTACCATAATGGACCAAGTGTTTGACCACTCGTATACTAAGCGTAGACGGCCCTGCAGATCAACGAAATTAGCCTGCGATAAAGTCTTAGAAAAAGTTTAGTATCGTCGGCAAATACTTCAGAAGTTTCTGTAAGTTGGGCAAGATCGTTTGTAAAAAGAATAAAGAGGAGCGGCCGAGGACAGAACCTTGAGGAACACTACTAAGAATATCAACCCAGTCAGAGCTAGTAATGTTAATTGTAATGCGTTGCTTTCTGCCTACTAAGAAAGAATTAATCCATTGTAGTGGTTTTTCAAATGATTTTAGTTTTAACATGAGTCTGGTGTGAGGTAAAAAATCAAAAGCTATAGCAAAGTCGAGGTAGATTACATCTATAAACTGGTGCAATGCTAGGAAAGACGAAATAATATCAAGTCTCTATTAGATTATTTACACAAGACTTATGATGAAGGAAGCCATGTTGGTTTTTAGAGAGCAGATTGTTATCATTGATGTGCTTTAAGATTTTATTCTTTTTAACTTTTTCAAATATTTTGCACGCAACAGAGGTAAGTGAAATATGGCGATAGTTTTCAGGAAGTAGTTTGTCTTCTTTTTTTTATAGATCAGACTAATATTTGTTAATTTACAGAGAGTTGGTACTAATCCAGAATTAAAAGATTCATAGAATTTTTGATTCTGGATTAAAAAATATTTGTAAGAGGAATTGCGAAGCTTTTGGCACATATCTTAAGTATTAAAGGGTGCAATCCGAATGCAACCCAATATGAAATACTACTTACAACCCAATACTGAAAAAATACTGCTCTAACCCCCAACCCAAATGCAACCCAATATTAAAAACTACATTACATAAAATAAATTTAATTAACAATATATGTTAATGCAAAAAGATCCAACTTCAATCCAGCCAATTTCTAAACAAACAAAAATTTATCGCAAAAACTTTTGATTGGCTGAACCATTATTATAAACAAATAAATGAGAACAAATGTTTCAATAATAATGAAATAATTTATTACAATAACTACGCTTGATTATTATAACCTAATAGCATTTTTTAAAATTGAAATTATAATTCAATTAAAATAGCAAAGCAGCACACTAACTTTGGTGCAACATCGAAATAATGGTCTAATGATTCTAAGGTTGTTTTGATGTTATTCTAATGGAGTGTGGTGCCTGGATAAGCAATGCTAATATGACAATAAAAAATTATTCAACTCAACTTCTTAGGTGAAAACTGATTCACCTTCTTAGGTGAAAGCTAACTCATCTTCTTAACCCTTAAAGGACGGGAAAAAAAGTTACGTTAAGGACGGCTGGGGTATTAAACTACCCCACCTAAAAATATAGGTTTTTATAGAAAACATGTTGAGCTTTTTAACTTAAAATGCGTGCTTTCAACAAAAATATCAATTTTCTCAATGTTTTTTAAATAAAAGTGATATTTGATACAATTTATTCAAATAAAAACAAAATATAACTCCTAAATGAGGCAACTATTGCAAACAACTTTGCTATGAGTCTTGAAAACAGAATGGCTACATGATGCACATTGAAGAGGGGTTTTTCAGTCTTGAACACGAGGACACATATAGCACCTTTTTATGTGCTGCTCTTGATTTGGTTGACCTTGATTTAATAGGTTATTTTGTACAATTACTTGGCGAAGATTATTATTTGCAACTATTTGTGGAAGATTGTCATTTGCATCAAACTTTTTAATAAGACTTTTTGATAATTCTTTTAAAAATTCTCTTCTTCTATGAGAAGCTCCATTTTTATAATTTGGGTGAATTGACAAAAATAAAATCAAAGCATTACATGCTGCAATATCCAAAATATTACAAAACATTGTAAATGGCCATCAGTTACTTTTTCGGCGACTCGAATAGCACCTGACAACCTGGTCTAATGTGTCAACTCCACCTTTATATTTGTTGTAATCTAGAATAATACACGGTTTTTCATTATGGTCCATAACAATGTCATTACTGTATTGGAAGGTTGATAATAATATTACTGCTTTGTTTTTCTTAGGTACATAAGAAAAAATAGTAGAGTCATTTTGAAAACTAAAAATGCTAGAATAAACTGGTCGATGTATAGCTGGCAATAACTTTTTTGGTATTTCTCCTTTATTTTTTTTAATGGTGCCAGTGTATGTCATTTTACGTCCTAGCAATGCACGTGCAAGATGAATGTTTGTAAAAAAATTTTCAGCTGTTATGTGTCTACCACTTCCATTTAAGTGATCAGTTAGTTCAAGAACTACTCGTGTACCTTGTCCAACATCACGTACTCCATTTACTCTACCAATATATGGTTGCAAATTTATGCAGTAAGAAGTTTCAGCATCACATAATATCCATATCTTCATTCCATACTTTCCTGGCTTAGTAGGTATAAACATCTTAAATGGACAACGTCCTCTAAATGTAACTAATTGCTCATCAACAGTAAGATATGCACTTGGATTGTAGTTGTTCTTACATTTAGTAGTAAACATTTCCATTATATTTCTTAAAGGTGCAAATTTGTCTTCAAACCGTCTTTGATTTCTTGTTTCTCTCTCATCAAATCGAATGCATCGTCGCAAGTTAACAAATCGATCTCTTTGCATTGAAGTAGAAAATATTGGTATGCCATTTAATTTACTCCAAAGCTCTTTTATGGTTTGATTTTTAGAATGAAACACTCCAGCTAGAAGAAGAACTCCAATAAACTCATGAAGCTCATTTACTGTCGTATCAACCCATCCTTCTAGTCTTATTCTACGAGATTCAGCATTAGTGCAATTGACAATGATTCTAATCATTTCAGGTGTTATGAAAAGTTTAAAGGCAGTATCCACACTTTGGCCCCAAATCTGAGCTGCAAACCGGTTGGGCCAGTTGGTTGTCGAATAATATTGTGTGCAGGTGGCTGAGCAGCATTTACAGATGGAAGTTTACTCCAAATTTCCTCACCATTCTTTGAAATGATGTTTTGATTTAAAATGTGATTTTCCTAAACAACTTCTTCATCACTTTGATCAGAGATGATAGCATCTGATTCATCGTCAACTGTAACAATATCTTCTTCATCGTCTGTAAGGTCTTCATCAGCTGAGTCATCACTTGAAGATAAGTCATTTAAACCAAAAATAATATTATTAGCCTCGACTGCAGCATTTCTTCTTGGGCGACTCATTATATAAATTATACTTATTCTAAAAATAATTTCAGTCTTTATTAAACCAAATACGTGAAAAATATATAACAAATATTGTAGGCATTATTAATTTGTACCAATAATATAAATATTTTTGACATAAAAACAAAATATATGCAACATGAGCAGACTACTGTTGTTACAGTGAGTGTATATATTTAATCAATATATGGTATAATTTACTCATAAAAAAGATAAATAATACCCCATACCTATTGAAAAATAACTAAAATATAAGCAAGTGTTAAAATAAACATGATTTATATAGCTATTTATTGATTCACTAACTAAAAAATGAGAAAACTTGCATGGGGAATAAAAATACCCCAACCGTCTTTAACGTAATTAAATTTTCAACTAACAATATTATTGTCAATTGATTAGTAAAACAAAAACATTTTACACTAAAAACTTCCTTTAATGATAATAAAAGATGTTCTGAAGTAGCAGTTCAAATACACAAAATTTGTTGATGTGGCAGTTAAAAGTAAACTCTTCTGGGGTAGTAAAATACCCCGCCGTCCTTTAAGGGTTAAATGAGTGTTATTTATTTTCAAAACCAATTATCTTTCTGTTTTTTAAAACCGATTTTGATTGTCTTTCGTATTCATTTTTATATGTATTTATATAAATTTCTACAATTCCTAGTATCTTCTAACTGTTTAGCTGCTTTTAATGAAGTAAATTTATCAGAACTACTTTCTACTAATATTACTTGTTGTCGTCCATTTACTATTTTTATACTTAAAGCAATGAACTCTTTGAATAATACATATTTCACCTGAAAAGGTCTCTCACAATATTTATAAAATCTCTTTTTTTTTACTTAGTATAACCGAGTTCTCGACACTTTGGTGTTCGTCGTTAAAAGAAATGGCAAATTGTTGGATTTTCTAGCTGATCATCTAAATCAAATTATGGAACAGTGATAAATACAATATCAATGTCTTTTAGGTTGTAGATTATTAGAAAAGTTGTGCTTAATGATTTTAACCATTACTTTTTTTAAATATTCTTCTTTTACTTAAAAGACAATTTATGTCAACCCTCATAATGTCGTCAATAAAAAATTTTTATATTTGGGACAACTTTTGCTAGGTAGTATTCAGTTTAACTAACAATTTTTGAAAATTAAATGAAATATGTAGAAGGTCAATCGAGCTATTATAAAAATTTAAACTTAATCAAATTTAAATATTTCACATTAGTTGTATTTCTTTACAATGGCTCCTACTTTTTTGGTAGTATATCTTTGCAATAGCTTCCTAATTTTTTTTTGTAGTATTTAAATATTTATCTTATTTTTGCCATGCTGGTTTGCAAACAAAATTTTTGCTTTTTTTTTCGCTTTCAAAAATTTGATTAATTGCTGATAATAATATTCTAAAGATATAAATTAAAAAATATAATTATTACTTTATAAATTAAATAATAATTTTATTAATACAAGTTATTATCACGTAGGCCCGTTTTCGGGTCAGCTTGGCCAAAATAACGACTGTGGCCTCTCCCCTCTCCCTCCCTCTCCTCCTAAAAAAATAAAAAAATAAATAAAATTCCGCAATTCAACACGATTTTTTTATTTGGCTTATATATAACTGCATTACACCAAAAACCAACAAATAAATGTGGCAGAAAATTATAAGGACAATCATATTATTTTATTTTACATATATTATAAACACTTCAGTGTTTTAAGTAAATGCAACAGTAAAATAAAATGAAATATTGATATTTCATTTTATTATATATATATATATATATATATATATATATATATATATATATATATATATATATATATATTTAATATATATATATATATATATATATATATGTATATATAAAACAAAATGAAACATCAATATTTTATTTTACTGTGGCATTAACTTAAAACACTGAAGTGTTCATAATATATGTAAAATAAAATAATATGATTGTCCTTATAATTTTCTGCCACATTTATTTGTTGGTTTTTGGTGTAATGCAGTTATACTACCTATAAAATCTCTAATTTAATTTTATATAAACAAATAGGCTTTTATGATTTTATATAGATATATTCAAAATATAAATTAGGTTGTTGCCACTGCTATTTTTAAAAATTTTTTTGTCAAGCCAGCATTGGATTTGTAACTACGCATATGGTTGTAAAATGGAGTTAAATTAAACTTTGTTGTATCCATAATATTTTTGCGCTTCTTTTTAAGCTTTAATGATTCTTGTACGCATAATTCAATAATATTTTTTATTTGAGCGTTTATAAATCTTTTACCTCGTTTTTTTTAATTAGAAAACAACTTGAATGTAATCATATTGTCAAATTCTCCTCTGTTTAACTTAACAACAAGATTTTGAACTGTGCGCTTAGATAAATTAGGGAAAGGGGAAATGCGTTTTGTAGATTCATTTCATTCAACTAAATACTTAAGCATTTCAATGTACTCTTTTGTAACATTTTAAAAATTGTGCATTTATACACTAAATAAACTAAATTAACGTTAAATATCATTTTGGAAAGTCAACAACAGTGAAAAATAACTTCAATAGATGCTAGCTTAGTTAATGTTTTTATATTTTATACATTTTTATACATTTTATTTATATTTTTTTAGGTTTGGCTGGCCATACCATCTTCTAGTGCCTATTGTTACAGATGATTAAAAAAAAAATCTTCATTAAACTTTTTTTTGAATTTCCTTTAAGTTTTTACGACCTATTACCATAAAGTAGAACTATGGAAACTATTTCATTTATAATTAAAATATAATAATATATAATTTATTTTTCTTCGCTTAGGTTTCCCCAAATAGCCAGCTCCCATTAGAATTAAAGTATCAATATTTAAATTGGGAATGCAAACATGCTGGAGTAATTAACTCTCGAGGAAAAGAAAAGCGCCAGGTAATTTATACCAAGTTTTATAAGTGCATGAAATTTTAGAAACAGGTTTTACTTCCGCCTTCTCTTGCTCCCTTATCCTGATTACCCTGATTAACCTTAACTTTTATTGAAACGAATTACGGTGATTTAATCTGTTTTTGTTAATTCCAACTTGAAAGTTTAATTTATGTTTCTTAATTTTTCTTTTTAGACTAATACTTTTGCTAATGGATGTTCTGTACAAATAACCATAGTGTATGAATGTTTATTTAAAAATTCGTATTGAATTTTGTGTTGAAAAACATAATTTTTTTTTTTTTAATTTTGCTAGTTTTATAAAACATTTGGAATATAATATGGGTAAGAAGAGGTTGTAACCTTGAATGATTCTTTTGTGTCACAATGACTATACTCGGCTATAAATATTTAAATTATTAATCTATAACATATATTCAAAATTTTTTGCATATAGCAGCGTGGAAAATAAGGAATTGAACGCCAGCGGTCAATTTGACCGGCCAACTCAAGGAATTGACGGTCAATTCTTTTTTTTGGACTGTCAAAAAAAAAACAATTTCTTTTTTCTTTGTTTAAATCTTAATAATTTTGGCAACGGGTCGTTAAAGCGAATTTACTTTGTTCTTTTATAATATAATATAGCCTGGATTTTACTTTGTTCTTTTATAATATAATATAGCCTGGATTTTACTTTGTTCTTTTATAATATAATATAGCCTGGATTTTACTTTGTTCTTTTATAATATAATATAGCCTGGATTTTACTTTGTTCTTTTATAATATAATATAGCCTGGATTTTACTTTGTTCTTTTATAATATAATATAGCCTGGATTTACTTTGTTCTTTTATAATATAATATAGCCTGGATTTTACTTTGTTCTTTTATAATATAATATATTGTATTATAAAAGAACAAAGTAAAATCCAAGCTATATTATATTATAAAAGAACAAAGTAAAATCCAGGCTATATTATATTATAAAAGAACTATATATTATATTATTACTATATAACTATATTATATATAACTATAACTATATTATATTATAAAAGAACAAAGTAAAATCCAGGCTATATTATATCATAAAAGAACAAAGTAAAATCCAGGCTATATTATATTATAAAAGAACAAAGTAAAATCCAGGCTATATATAGCCTGGATTTTACTTTGTTCTTTTATAATATAATATAGCCTGGATTTTACTTTGTTCTTTTATATAATATAGCCTGGATTTTACTTTGTTCTTTTATAATATAATTTTCTTTGATACTATTTCAAAGTCTAATAGCTATTGTATTAATATTTCAAAGTCTAATAGCTATTGTATTTTATAGTATTTAGACTCTTTTTTCACGCATTTATTATTATTTGGGCACTAGATAATTTAGGCGTGCCCGTGACGCTCGTTTTCAGCAGTCATTTATATATATAAATTTTATTTATTTTCAGAAGTGAAGTGAAGCCAGGGAAGCCAAAGAAGTATATATACTACGTATACTTAATAAATATTTGGTTCAGGGGCGCACGTGGCACTCATTTCTAGTAACCATTTACATATATAAATTTTATTTATTTTGAGTTCAATAATATAACTGTTTAAATAATAATTTATTCAGAATTAACATTAAAAAAATTCATTCAAAATCATACAAATATATAATTTATCATATGCTTGTAATTAAATAATTATTTACTTTAAGTATATTTTTTTATAATTTTGTCTAAACTGATATTGACATGTTTCACAGGATGATGACGTCTAAACTAATTGATTAACTAAATTAAGCGCTTTTTTTTCAATATATCTAACCGCTAATGTGTAATCAATTACATCGTTATGGAATCAAAGAACCTTTGACCTGGGTAATTATCGGTTAAATTGTCTAAAATTGTGAACTACTTTTGTTTTTTTAAAATTTTTTTTTACATTTTCAGATTGTTCATCACCTATCAGACCGTACCAGTAAATTTTGTGTGGATCATTTTTGAAAAATGAGGCAGTTTAGAACGCCAAATAAATATTGTTCTTAGTTTATGTAACAAAACTCTTTTATAACTTTGCAACTAGATGTCCAGTTACTTTATGAAACACATATGTGTTTCATAAAGCCATAAAGCGGAAGGGAAACAAAAGACAAAGTTATATTAGAGTAAGTGTGAGTTGAGTGAGTTTCGAAACAATTGGATAAGTGCCTAATGTAAAAGCAAATAACTTAGTGGAAGAAATGGTAGTAGTTAATCATGTCTATCCCCAGCAGTAAAAGAAATACAGGTCCGATTAAACTCACTTTTATAGAGCTATATAAAGTTTATAAAATAAAAAAAGAAACAGAATCAATACTTATATATTAGTTGTACCCTATTTCAAGGTCACTTATCTCAGAGACAGGACTGTTAAAACATTTATTAAATTTTGACTCTGATTTTGAAAAATAATTTTTTTTTTATTACAATAACAATATATTGTTATTGTATTATAAAGACGAATTACAATACAATATTTATTGTTATTGTAGTGGGTCATTACAATACATTTTTTTCAGATATTGTTATAGTTTTATAAAGATGAATTGCAATACAATATTTATTGTTATTGTATGACAGAATTACAATAGTTGTAAATCACAAGTATTGTTATTGTTTCTAAACTAAGTTAATACAATAAAAATAGTTATTGTTACTGTTATTGTTTTCATTACAATTACAATAGTCCTAACCCTAATTTAGAAAACTGAAAAATAAATTGAAACCATGACAAAGAAGCACATCCTGTCAAGATCGCTTAAATCATCTTACCATTTACAGTTAGAGAAATAAGAATCCGAAAAAACATTTTATTGTAAAAAATTAACTTTCTCAGGTTATTTCAGAAAAACATATGTTTTTGATAAATACTTTTATAATTATTCTAAAAGCAAATTTAATTAGGATTTTATATAACAAAATATTAACCAAGGGTAATTAACTTGCGTTGCTAAAATATAACGAATCCCATAGGAGTGTTAAAACTTCAACGAAAATTTATTATCCGAACATATTGTTTTGTAAACAACGTTTTAAAATTGATTATTAGAAAAAGTTTTTAAATCAATAGTTTTTGAAATATTGTTGTATTACAAAGAGTAATTTTTTATAATTGACATATTTGTTTAAAATCATTTGATTTACCATTGATATCATTAAGTATGGGAGTTAAAATCAAGGAATGGTCCCAAGCTCAGCGCAATTTAGTTATTGACTTGTTCAAGCAAGGTAAAACATTTAGGTTGATAAATAAAGCGACTGGAATGGCATTAGGAACCATCAGCAATCTGATTACAAAGTATAATATGTTTGGATATATGCTAAATCAGCCAAGATCCGGAGCTAAGCGTAAAATAACATCAAGAGTAGATTGACAAATTGTCAAGATGGTGCAAAAAAAAGCAAGAGTTCCACGCCAGAAACCATTCCTTTCAAAAATCCATCAAAAAAGAAGACTTGCATTTGCTAAAAAATATGTAAATATGCCGGTAACATTCTGGAGAAAGGTTTTGTGGACAGCGAGTCAAAATTTAATCTTGTAAAGTCCGATGGAGCTCAAAAAGAATGGAGAAAAAAAGGTGAAGTATTCACTCTCAGCTGTATTAAAGGCACAGTAAAATTTAGTGGAGGCAATGTTATGGTACGGGGATCGATGGCTTGGAACAGAACAGAAAAACTGGAGTTTATTGACTGAATTATAGACTCTGAGGTTTATGTTAACATTCTCGATAAAAATCTTCTGGCTTCAACTAAAAAACTGCGATTAGGAAAACATTTTATCTTCCAACAAGACAAGACCCTAAACATACGTCAAAGAAAGCAAAAGAGTCTTTTATCCAAAAGGAAATTGAGTTACTTGAATGGCCAGCGCTCAATCCAATTGCACATCTCTGGGCTATTCTAGATGTAGTACACCATGTTTTAAAAAAAAGAAGCTAAAGATCATGCTCCAAGAAAGCTTGTGCTGATATCGATTCAGATACGACGTAAAAAGTAGTTAAGTCGATGCCATGACGACTTGCGGAAGTCGTAAAAGCTAAAGGCGGTCCAACTCGATATTAAAAAGTCATAATAATTTTTGAACAAGCGTTAGTCTTTAAGCCTTAATCTTTAAATTTTGTTCGGATACTTATTTAATGCTAAAAAATTGCGTAGTTTAAATCTTAATTTTTATCAATTAAATATTATTTTTGATACTTTTTTTTTGCATATTGAACCGTAATTAAATTTTTTTTAGAATAATCACTTTTTTAATTTTTATAAAGTTATTTTTTTCTGAAATAACCTGACAAAGTTTATTTTCTATAACAAAATGTTTTGTTCGGATATTTATATTGAAAATAATTTAGCAAAACGAGTTGATTTCAGTGATGTCATTGAAAAGTTTACTTAGGAAAAAACCCGAAAATCTCAATTAGTATAATATTTGTAATTTTTATATTACCAATGCTATTAAATATATTCTCTTATACAGTAATACAGTCTTTAAGTGTCTTTTACTGTTTTCATGACAGTATTTTTGGTTTTTAGTTTTACAGTGTCAATATAATTCCTTTTTAAAAATAACATTTTTAAACAAACTGTTGACAAAAAACCTTTTTGACAAATACAAATTTAGTACCAATTAGAAAACTGTCTTGTTTGGTTGAAAATAAACAGGTCACTTTAATTGTTTTAATTACAGGAGTTAATTAACAACTTAACCATTAAATTAATAACCAACCAGCAGATCTATTTAATTGACATTTTAAAGTCTCAAATGAAACCTCGTTTTGATAGGTTGTTTGGCGATCTTCTAAATACTTTTCAGCAAGATTCAGCCTCCGCACATAAAGCAAAAACCGTTCATATATGGCGTGAGAAAAATTTCCCTTGTTTTATCCCAGTATCAGAATGGCTACACGGAATGGGTTACACGCTAAAAAATAACAATGTGAGATGCAATAATTTAGATGGTTTTACCAAAAAAGGTAAAATGAACCTAAAAAAAAACCCATGGAATATTTGCAAAACCTTGTAAGAAAAAAAGTGCAAGAAAAGAACGATTTGCGCTATTTTTTGATTGCTACTTCAACTGTGATATTTTTTGATTCTACTTAAGTTTTCACATATGTTCGCTGATAAGTTTAGAAAAGTATAGAAATTATGTTAAAAAAACACGTCGATTAAAACAAACATTCTTAAAAAATAAAAATAACAAAAATAAAAATAAACATTCTTTTAAGCATATAATATACAAAATGAGTAAATAACTTAAAAACGCTTTTATAAAAAAATCCTCCAAAAAAAACTACCCTAACCCCCCTGACCCTTAACTAAAAAATTAGCTTTTGTCCAAATTTAATCTAAAAAATTGTCGTGTCCAAATTTAACTAAAGGATCTTTTATTTTTGGAAGATTTTCTTTTCCATAAAAATATAAACAATATAAGTAAAAGTTTTTACAAAAAATTATTTAAAAACTTTTATATAAAATAGAAAAAGAAAATAAATTTTCACATATTTATTGGCTTTAAACTTGCTTTAAGCTAAGTCTAATTAAATATTGCTAAACCGGAAATAAAAGATAAAAGTTTATTGATCCATAACGGATGTATAGTTTAATGGTCCATAACGGAGATAATGTTTAATGATCCATAACAGAGGTAAAGTTTAATCATCTATAACAGAGGTAAAATTTAATCGTCTGGCATAGATTCCATGATTTTCTGAAGGTCTTCAGCATACCTTTCTAAGCCTTCGCGTTCTAGATTGTCCACGATCTTTAAATATTCAAATAACATAAGTTAAATATTTAAGTTAAAAAATAAAAATAAAAAAAATAAAATAAAAGCAATAAAAAAAATAATAAGCAAAACATTAATATTATTCATTCAATAAACTAATAGTAACAACTCTGAAAAATTATAATAGTAACAACTCTGAAAAATTATACACGATTCTTCTTAAGAATTTAACCTACGAAACTTAAAGCTTTTCACTCTAAGAATTATTGTTTCTCAATCACTTCTTAGTAATATGAATATGTAATATGAATTTACTATTTTATATTTAACTTTTAATAAATTTTATCAGTAAACAGGTAAAATGAAATAACAATGTTCTTTTGTTCCAAAAGAACATTGTTATTTCTGCTATAACAATGTTCCAACGATACAGTATTGGACAAAACATTTGCAACCAACATCGAATGCTAAAAAAGTGTTCCTAATTTTACAAGTCTTAAAAATAAAACGAACTATACTACTACAGCAAACAGTTCAGGAGTCTGGAGTCATAGCATGCCATGACATGAGCAATCAGCTGACAGGTGACAGCACACAGGCAGAATTTCGTTGACAAGTGCCATTTTGCAGCGGGCAAAACAAGTGCAACTTTTTTGGTCTGTTACATTTTCTTAAGTCTGATCCGTGTCAACGTCACGGAAGTTTTTTAATAATTAAAGAAAGTTTCCAGAAGTTTCCACAAGCATGCAGAAGCTTCCAGAAGTTTCCAGAAGTTTCCAGAAGCATCTGGAAGCATCTAGAAGTATCCAGAAAAATTCAGAAGCAACCAGACGCATCCAGAAGCATTGAAAAGAAGCATCTAGAATTTTCCAGAACAGGTTCACACAGGTTTATTTTACTATATAAGAGACATGTAAACCGACATGTAATTCAGTCAGTATATGGAAGTCAATCAGTCAGTATTATCAAGACAGTTTATCGAAGTGAGTTTTGTCAAAGTGTTTTATCGAACAACATCAATACAAGAAGTGAAATACAACAAGTGTTTCATTACATCAATATTGTATCATCACAAGGTAAATGTAACACGGTAAGCCTTAGGAAGCGTGATTATTTATTTTTATTATTTTTATGACTTCAAGTGCAAAAATGGCTCCCGAGAGTCTTGAATTGGAACTAAGAAAGAAAATTATTGGCGATTACGTAAGTGGAATGTCACAAAAAAGTATTTGTGATAAATATCGCGTGAAAAAATGGACCGTATCAAGACAATGTTCCAAATATCGCTCTACGGGGAAGTGGGCAGCAGATAGCACAGGTGGAAGACCGCGTTCCACCGCTTCTAGAGAGGATTCTATGATCGTCAGATCCGTCAAGAAGGATCCCTGGATATCATCAGTTGAGATAAAAAAGCAATTAGAGCTGCCTGTATCAGACTGAACAACCAGACGACGTGCTGTTAAAGCTGGATTGTTTTCTCGATGCCCAGCAAAGAAACCGCTGATTTCACTAAAGAACTAGAAGAAAAGACTCCTGTTTGCTACATCTCATATTGACTGGAATGTGCAGAAATGGCGAACTGTCCTGTTCAGTGATGAATCAAAGTTTAACATCATTGGGAGCGATGGCATTTGCTGTGTACGTCGACCAACCGGAAAACGCCTCGATTTACGTTACTGCCATAAGCAATGTAATGGTCTGGGGGTGTTTTTCTGCTAACGGTCTAGGTCCAATACATCGAATCGATGAAATAACGGATCGTTTCATGTATAAAAATATCCCGAAAGATGTTATGTTACCTCATACTGAATGGAATATGCTAATAAAATGGGTTTTTCAGCAAGACAACGATTCAAAACACACAACCACCTGTCGGTGATGGATTGGCCACCTCAATCTCTGGATCTCAACCCTATCAAGAACCTGTGGGAGATCGTCAACCTCAGAATTAATTGTGAAGGTGTTTGTAATAAGGATCAACTGTTTGAACAAACCCAAAAGGCCTGGGCAGCGATTCCACAAAGTTTCATTGATCACCTGATCGAATCTATGCCTCGAAGATGCAAGGCTGTGATCAACAACAAAGGATTCGCCACAAAATATTGATAGCAAAATACAGTTTGGTCAACATTTTGTGGAGTTGCACTTGTTTTGTCCAGAAGGAAATCAACTTTTTTTAATACTTTTGATTAATTTATTAATTTTCATGTACAAATAATGAACTTTGTGATGAATAAAACTTGAAGAACGTTGTCTCTAAACAGTTACATAGTTATTTCTCTAAATTGAAAAAATGCAGCATTTTTATATAAAGAAATTAAATTAGTATTATTTGGTTGCACTTGTTTTTTCGGATACTGTATTTAACATCAATATTTGTTGTATAGTATGTGCTCTGTAGTCAACTCGCCTGTAACCAACCTTCAATATTGTAGTAACTCATAAATTATTCTTAAGGAAATTCAAAAAGAAGTTAAAAATATCAAAACAGGTATCAGTGTGAAAATTAAAAATCCAAAATTTGGCTTTCTCGAACATGCATACCAAAGAGATATTTAGTTTTATTGCACCAAAAAATGTCAAACAAATGAAAACTCAACTTTGTTGTCAAACAAATGAAAAAACAACCATTAGAACCACTCAAAGACTCAATATCATCACAATTTTTAATTAATTGGTTGTTCCTTTAACTGTTATAAGTTGTTATTTTTTTTTATTTGTTATTATTACTTTTTTTAAACTGTGTTTTTTGAACTATCCATCGACTTGAAAACTTAATTCTCTCCAAATGTAATGTAAAAGGAAATAGTTTTTTTTTTTTCAATTAAATAAAGTTTCTTGAAAAACTAAAAATTTTTAATTTAATTTGTATAAACTTAAATACAGTTGAAAATTCTCTGCAACTTGAAAAAATTATAGATTTAGCAAATATGCAATTAAATCTTTTATTAAAAAAATTAATAAAAACAAAAACTTTAAACTTATAGGAGAATATTATTATTTTTAAGTTCCCAGAATCAATTAAAAATATAGAGAAAATTTAAAGAATTTCTTCTTGTAATCAAACTAAACTACAGTTTACTATTTTATTTTTTGTCAAAAAAAAAAAACAAACAAAAAAAAAAAAAAAGTTTTTTAGTCATGTTAGGCTTTAATTAAAATTAATCAGATATCATATCTTTAATTAAAATTAATCAGAGAAGCATTAGCTGTGATATCACCAACTTGTACAGAGGAACTAAAGAAAAAAAAAAAAAAAAAAAACATTACCTTGACTTTATATTTCACTGCATACATCATCAATTCACTGGCAGCATTTAAAGAGTTAAATGAATCTTTTTTGCCGTATTTCTGGAAAATCAATAAAAACGAAGGTAACAAAAAAAAAAAAAAAAAAAAAAAAAAAAAAAAAAAAATAACAACACAAGAATCAAATCTTTAATTATTCTAAGGAATTATTGATTATTGTGATGAACAAAAACATATATTAAAAGCTAAAAGATTTATTTTATGAAGTTCTTTTAAAAAGGTAAAAAATCATGTGTTTAAGAAAACCTAATAAAATTAAAAAAAATTTAAAAAACATTATTACAAATAATATTGTTCCATAAAATTTGATGAAACATTATTTAGAATTTCATTTTTTACTTATTGGGGTGCAAAATTTGAATTCAGCATTTGTTTTAACTTATAAAAGGCAAATTTTAATTAAATATTATTTTTATTTTTTATGAAATATTTAAAATTAATATAGTCTTTTGATGATGGCAATTCTATTTGGGTTGAGTATGGATGTCATTTAAAGAGCTGTGGCGCATTGGTTAGAGCGCTTACTTTATAACCAAGACATCCAGGATTAAAAAACACCTCTGGGCATATTTCATGAAATCGGTAAGAAAAGAGGCGTGAACTTCCTAAGTAAATGCTCTTCTGCGGGGCTCTGTGACAAGACTTTTAGGTCTTCTTGGGGTATAGGTAAAACATACTCATCTCCTATGATTTATCTATGCATCTCAAAAATATTTTCAGGATCTTTTATGAGAGGACTTTAAATTGTCTATACATCTCAAAAATGTTTACAGGATTTTTTATGAGAGGACTTTAAATCAAGCACTTAGGTCCACCAGAAGTCAGCAAGTAATGAAAGTGAAAATGAAAGTTTTCATTATGACTATATTACTGATTGCTTTCTACATTCAGGGAAAAAATTAAAATTTATGCAACCAATAAGGTTTATGTGACAAACAGAGTTTCATTGTTCTTTATATTCTTGTTTAGAGAATTAAAATTTGCAGCTTTATGCCATTCACCATTGCAGCTTTATGTCATTCAAGACATTGCAAACATAAAAATAAACCATGCTACTTTTTGTGGTTCAGTGATCCAATGAAAACGCCTTTTGCAACTTTCGTAAAACTTTATTTGGAGAATATTTAAAATTTAAATTTAATAAATAAATTAATTTTATACTTAATTTATAATTTATATATAACTTTTTTTTTTTTTTTAATATTCTTTTATATTGTATATAATTTATATATAATATATAATCATGGCCTACTTAAATTACATGGCCTGATATGTTGCATTTTCAGTAAAAAAATTAAGAGAGTTTATTAACAACTTATGTATAAAATCTTGAGTTCTTGATATGGCTAAGAGTCGTGTTTGCAGTATAAATGTTTTATTCCTGCTTTATTAAAATAGTTAATAGTTAGATTTTCTTTGAACACTTACATTATTTTGTGCTAGATTTTTTGCTAACTGATTGCCTGCTTCAGTTTATTTTAATAACACAGAATACTGAAATAGGTTTTCAGATAGCTTTGTATCAACATGCTAATAAAAATAAACTTAAATATTGCCTAAAATTCTCCACTGAAAATAAAATCATAGATTTGTAGTTTTGTATTTATTATAATTGAAATTAAATAAAGAAAAACCTTTTTACTTGGAATAAATATTCCAAGTAAAAAGGTTTTTCTTTTTTACTTGGAATAAATATTTTTTACTTGGAATAAATATTAAATTTACCTTTTTACTTGGAATAAATATTCCAAGTAAAAAGGTATTTCTTTTTATTTATATTTAATTATATTTATATTATTTTTATATTTAATTATATAAATGTTTAATTGTATTTGACTTCTGTCTTTTTTTGGAGCATTTCACTTGATCTTTTCTTACTGAATATGTAACATCTTTTTGAAAATTATTCTAAAAAATATTATTAGCAATACAAGATCAATATTTGTTTCTATCTTCTGGTGATTTTCACTAAATTAACACTGCTATAACAATTTTTTTAAATTTGTTATGCAAATTTTTGATATGACTGCCATGTATGATTAGAAGTAAAAAAAAAAAAGTAAATAAAACACTAAAAAGATGACAAATAAAATCAGACAGATATGGAATCAGATAGGTTCTCCTCTGCATAAAATAACATTTGTCATAAATTTAACATGGAAATCTTTTTTTTTATTTTTTACTAATGTAACTTGCTTTAGTATAAACACCTATGCTACCTTCAGAAAGCTGACACTTGCATTTATGCAGACAACTAAGCAAGATCTTGCATAATATTTTTTAAGGATTATCAAATGTCTGATAAATATTTTCTTCCCAGAAAATATTATAGAGTAGATTTCTGTCAAAATCTTTTCATTATTGTATATTTCTAAAAGACTTGCAAAAAGTCTTCTACTGGTTATTCAACTATACTTACTAAAATCTCCAAAGGATCACTTTGTAAACTGCCCTAAAGAATCACTTTGTAAACTGCCCTAAAGGATCACTTTGTAAACTGAAAGTAAGGAAAATGCATAGCCTTCTTCAAGGAAATCGTTTATAAGAGAGCTTGTAGTGCTGTATCTAGAGCATAAAAGTTTGATTGGTTAATGTAAAATATTTACATTTTGATCAAATTTCAATACAGTTTGCAATTTCTCTATAAAGTATGGGTTTGTTGTCACCTTTCACAGCAGCATATCTGAGTTGATTGGATGAATTGAGTTTCTGCTAGGAATTAAGTGTGATAAATAACTTATATAACAATGATAAAAATTGTGCTGCATCATTTCTTTCAGGAAAATAACTAAATACTGCAGCTATAGTTGTTTCAAAATAATGTCAACGTACAATATACAAACAAGGTTGACAACTTGTTTATTTGTTGTTTCCTAGATAATTGAAGTAACTTGATAATTAATTTTTCTTGTTTTTTTTTTTAGTTCCTGTTTAATAATTGAAACTTTAATAAACTTTATGAAATGTATTCCCTGCAATGTCAGAAGTAACTTCTACTTATGAATCTGTTTCTTACATTTTTTATAAAATGGAGTATATCAAATAAAAAGTATGCTCTTTTTATAAAGTGGATAATAAATAAATAAATTTTCTTTCTCCATTTTATGCTTTATGAAACAATCAAAATGCATTAACATTGGTAGAATGCATTAATGCATTAGAATTGGTAGAACCAGTCACAACAGCTCTTATTTTTAATTCAATTGGTGCATACAAGGTAATACATCAGTTTCTTTTTTCAAACATAAACCTGTTATACAAACTTCAGTTGATGGTTTTACAAGGTAAGCCCTCAATCATAAAAATAAAAACAATTTCTTTATAAAGATTACTTTCTCTTCACTTTTATATTGGGTTTTTGTAAACATATTTTAACCCCAAGAAGCAGAAAGTGATTAAGAAAAATCTGTTTTATTACTAATAATCGCAATTATAATAAATACAAAATTACAAACCTTTAAAATTATTTCAAATGGAAAGTTGTGGGTAGTTTTAGCAACATGTAAGGTTATTTTTAGTAGCACCTTATTAGAATAAACTAAGCCAGGCAATCAGTTAGTGAAAAATCCAGCAAAACATAAAGTAATTACTCATTGAAAAAATATAACTCTTATTCAACCATTTTAATAAAATAAGAATAAAACATTTATAGTGCAAACACGACTTTTACATAACAATAATATAATAAAAAACCATCACAAACTTTTATACATGTTATTTAAGTAGGTCATGATATTATATATAATTTAATAATTTGAAAAAAGAAAATTATTTCATTGCACTCTTTGTCAAGTGTTTTCACAAACTTTTTATTGAACTCTATATTTTTTATTGACTTCATGTTGAGCATTAGCAACATTATTTAGTCCAACAGTAAAATTGTTTTGCTTAGGTCTTTCTCTTTGAAATGGCTATGGAAGATTTTTTTATTTTATTACTTCTTCAGTAAATAATTAATACTGCAAAAATAACATCATTGAAATGATTTTGTGGCTAACAGCAAATCGCAAAAATACTATATGGCAAGAGAAAACCATTATTTTATTATTGGCCTAGTCATAAAGAAAAGCAACAATATTGTGCTACCCAAGAAGCCATTTCTACCTTTGCATTAAAAATCTTTTGAATACATTCATTAAATGCATGTTGCTTCTTTTTTGCAGTCAACACATTATCAGTAAATGTTGTTTCTCTCATTTTTACAGTTGGGATAACAGATTTGATCATGATCAGAAAATAATGAAATAAATTTAATTGTTAAAAAGCATTAAGTAAACAAGTTTTTAATATATGTATATATTCATCTATTAAGCTGGCACAGATGTATTTCTAAGACATTGTTTCCAGTTTAGGATGTTGAATGCTGGATCGTCTTGACTCAATGTATGGGTTTTGCTTGTATCTCTGTTTTTTATGACTAGACAACTCATTCTATTATCTCCTAATGAAGGTACAGCTCTAAAACTCAGTTTTATGGTTCTGAAGCTGGCTGATAGTCAGGTTTACTAAACTCTGTAGTAGCTCTTGGAGAGCTGATTCCATCAACAGCTGAAAAATATCAAAGTATTAACAGTGCCATGTTGCGCATGGATGGTGTTCCTTTTTGTACTTTTGGTGTGCATTGTCAAGACCAAATTTGGAGCCCTTTGTTATGGCTTAAGGTTTATTAATAATAATGAGGCTATTAAACAGTGTACTAAGAACTGTCTATGCTTTGAGTCAAGCTTTTTAACAAATTTAAAAATGAATAAAGTACCAAAAACTATAAAACACAAAAAACCATCATCATTCAATATTATTTGTGGTCTTCTAATTTGAGTTCAGCTGTCTCATCTTGTGATCTTAGTGTTGGTGGTTATCTTCCTTTAATTCGTCAAGACTCCAATAGTCACATGCTTGGCCTGGGCATTTACATTCTTAAGAAGTCACCCATTTTTCAGAAAACTAGGTTTGAATCGACAGACTATTCTTTTACGTGCTTTTGTTTAGCACCACTTCACTCTATTGTCTCTTAGTTCTATATCGCTTTCCTTCATCTCAAG